TCCCCCACCTTGCTTGTCTTTTAGTTTCAACTCAAATGCGAACGCGGAGCGTCATTCCTGCCCTGTCAACAGGCCCATGTCCAAGCAAGCAGTCCATTCCAGTTCATCGGCTTCCATTTGGAGCCCTCGATCCTCCTTCAGATTGGCAGGCCTCAATGTTCGCACATTGCTTCAGCTCGGTCAACAGGCAGCACTTGCCCAAACATTAGAGACCCTATCGATCGATATCTGCTGCTTGTCGGAGACCCACCTGCAAGGCTAGAACTCTGTGCTCACTCTACGATCCCCTTCAGGTGACACTAGCAGCACTTTCTCATTGCGCCTATCCGGTGACCATGCAGCTTCGAGTACCGGCCGAACTGGTGTTGATATTGCCCTGAGTCCCTGGGCTGAAGCTACTCTGGTTGATTGGATTCCAATCGGTAACCGGATGTGTGCGGTCCGATTGGCTGGCTCATTCAAAACTTCGAGTTTGCGTGGGACTAACAGATGTCTGTTCGTTATCGCTGCCTATGCACCGACAGACTCTAGCGATGACTCGGTAAAAGACGACTTCTATCGTCAACTGAACGAGTTCCTTAGAAGAAGCTCGGACACTGTAGTGCTGACTGGGGATCTGAACGCTCAAGTTGAAAAACTATCCACAGATTAGCTGCATCTGGGCGGCCAACATGGTGTAGGCTCTCGTAATGATAACGGTGAGCGGTTACTTCATTTGTGTGAGGATGCTCGTTTATTTCTTGCGAGCACTAATTTTCGACACAGCATTCGCCGGAGTGTGACTTGGCGCCCACCAGCCTCGAACCAGCTATGGACGCAAATCGACCACATTGCGATACGTTACCGATGGTGAGGCTGCATCCAAAACTGTCGCTCGATTTGGAGCACATGTGTAGACACCGACCATGCACTTGTATGTGCTGACCTGCGGATGCGCTTTGCCTGATGCCCACGACGACGTCGTGATTGCATTGACACTAGCCAACTGGCGAAGCCAGCTGTTCTGAATGCCTATCAAAGTACGATTTGATGCGAGTTGAGTAAGCACTCAATGGATGCAGTTGAAGCTCACTGGCCTCAAAGTCACCAGTCCTTACTAGCAGTAGGCAAATCCATGGACATTGAGCCTCTTCGCAGTCTCTGGAAGTTATTGATGCTCGCCGGCATATTCCGGCTGGAAACGAACACAATGAAACTCGCAAAGAGCTCCGGGCAAAACCCGTGCTAGCCTGAAGAGAGCGCGAATCCTGGTGGTCTCATCGTGCTTCAGAGATGGAAATGGCCGCTACCCTTGGTAACCATCGTAAGTTATTCCGGCTGATACGGGAATCGGGCAGCAAGAAGCCTGGTGTTAGTGAAACAATTTATGACGTGAGTGCACAGTCTATCCACCACTTGCCAAAACCGTTGGAGCGTTGGGCTGAGCACTTTGCAAGGCAATTTTATCGGTCGGAGTTGTTAGATTTCTCGCCGACCATTGATCGCCCCGCTCCCTGGGCTGTCCCTTTGGATCCACCCTCTTGCTCAGAGGTTGAACGTGAGATCGCACTGTTGAACTTAAAGCCGCGGGACCAGATGATCTTCCTCTAACCCTCTCCAAATTCGGGGGACCTGCTCCTTTGGATGATTTACACAGGTTACTAGTCAAACTGTGGGAGCAGGAATCTGTCCCAACCGACTGAAGCCGCTCCGTCTTAGTCCCAATTTTCAAAGGAGGCTCACTATCCGAATGCGGCAGCCATAGAGGAATCAGTCTGATCTCCATCGCCTCCAAATTGCTTTCCTCTGTCATTCTTCACAGACTGACTGGCACTCGTGAAAGCCAGATTCGTGAAGAGCAAGCCGGGTTTCGTCGAGGTCATGGCTGCATTGACCGCATCTTCACTTTACGTCAGTTGTTAGAGAACCGTCACATACATTGGCGGCCCACCGTTGTCGTGTTCCTCGATATCAAAGCTGCATTCGATTCGGTGGATAGACTTGCACTTTGGGACTGTCTACTCAGGAAAGGTGTGCCTGAGAAATATGTAAATATTATTCGAGCATTATATGCGCGTAGCTCGGGCATTGTGAGGGCTTACAGCAAGCTGTCGTCGCCCTTTACTATCTCCAGCAGTGTGAGACAAAGATGCCGGCTGTCACCTTTCCTCTTCAACTTCGCTATTGATGAAGTCATGGAAATCGCGTTTGCAGAACACGACTTAGAGGGTGTGGATCTGCTCCCAGGAGAACGACTTCTTGACTTAGAGTATGCTGATGATATTGCGCTAATCTATGACAGCTCCCAGATGTGCCAAGCGGCACTGGACAGATTAGCACTAGCTGTCCGTCACTTCGGGTTTTGCTTCGCACCCTCGAAGTGCAAAGCGTTTCTCCAAGATTGGTCTGGACCGCCTCCTACGCTGACCCTTGGTGGGGATCAGCTAGAAGTGGTTCAAAAATTCAACTACCTGGGAAGTTGTATCATCGTCCGTGGGATTGAAGATGAGATCACGAACCGTATAGCAAAAGCTTGGGGCGCTTTTGCTAACCTTCGCCACCTATGGCGCCGGCGCGACATTATTCTTACCCTGAAGGGTAGAGTGTACAATGCAGCGGTACGTTCGACCTTACTGAACGGTTGTGAAACCTGGCCCCTGAAAGCAGCGGACCTGAAGAGGGTAGTTATGTTCGACCACCGGTGCCTTCGTAATTTAGCTCACATCTGGTGGGAACACCGCGTGAGAAACGAGCGTGTTCGACGCCTTGTTTACGGCCCAGGAAAAGGAAATGAACCGCTCAGCACCGTCATTTCACGCACCAGGCTCCGATGGCTGGGCTACGTGTTGCGCTTGCCAGCCCACCGACTCCCGTGACGTGCGTTGTTTGCGCGCCGGGGGTGTGGATGGAAGAAGAGGAGGGGTGGCCAAGCGATGACTTGGTCGAGAGGAATGAAGGACCTCACTTCCGAGCTGGCCTCGGTTAGAGCGTCACGTTTCCCTGGTTGTGGTCCAAAAGACGATGAACACGTTTGGCTGGATACACTTGCTGACATGGGAAGGAGCCGACCTCAGTGGCGTTCGTGCTGTGAGTTTCTTTATCCCACCCCATCCCTCTTAGCCTCCCCCTCCAACCACGATCTCACTATTAACCTTATATAATTTTGCATAGTAATTTTTTTTGATGCACAGTAGCCGGCTGGTAGCTTACCGGAACGATGCCCATCCGTTACCGGTAGCTCAGCCGGCTTGCACCAGTTGCATTTTTTCTCCTTTTTTCTGTGTATTGTGGCACAGTAGCTGAGGTGTTTCCCACATCTAGCTGACGTGTATGATGATGATGTACAATTTCCACACACACACCACAGAACTCGTTACACGTCATGCGGCTCACGGTAGGTATTTCATCACACTCCAAACCTTTACAGGGATTTAGTTGTTTACACAATTATGATTTGAATAGAAAGAGGTTTAACCGAAGCGCAATTTCTATCCAAATATTTTACCCTTGTTCCTGCACAGTTAGCTAAGCTACGTGGAACAGAACATACCTAAACGGCTAGAAACACTTTCCCAGTGACGGCAACCTTCAGTACATAAGTTTTGCTACTTGGTAATACCTGCGTACATCCGTGAAAGCAAATTGACCAAATTCTATTGAGATAACTGTTTTTCATAGCCGCTCTGTTTCGAAATAGGCATTAAGTACATCCGGCTCTGCAACCGTCGATTGCAGCAATTAATTTCCCCGTGTGGCGCCATACCGTAGGCTATAGGAGATAGCCTGGCTGTCGAGTGATTGGAGCTGCGAAGCGCTACGTACATGCAGACAGAAAACGTGTACCAATCCAGGGCTTACTCTAAACTTGTGGGAGATCCCATAATATTCACCAAAGCCAAAAGAAAAGTGGCATCTACTAGATCTGCCACAAAAATGCGTAGGGATTTGCTGTGTTCAGCAGTGGAAGCTTTTAACTAGTCGTAAAAGCCTTCTGTTTCAACATAGTGATGTTTGGGGAGGAAAAGATGCAAACCGATGAATTATGCTACTATCTAGTCAAACATGTCTTACACTTCGGAGTTACTTAGTTGATACCTTTGGATGAGTAGTTAGATCTTCCTTTTTGTCGTACGCATAAGATCATGAAGAAATGTGACGACACCACCACCACAGTTTGTCAATCGTCTCCATAGATCCATAAACTCTTACGGTTGCATCATCAACATCTTCACTGGTTCATGTCCCTCCCCATCTACTTGCAAACATCCACGATAACTGATAGTCATTTTTGGATTCTTACATTTTCTCAAGAAACATGCGTATGAGCACTAAGTAACGTACTGTATTGATGTCATCATGCGCTTCCGAAGGACAACTTATCATTCGTTGTCATACTCTTTGGTAGCCATGATGCTTTGTGCGCAACGACCAAAGTAGTAAACAGTTCATTTTCCTAAGTAGGTGGAATGCGATGCGCAGTCTTAATATCTTCCGCGATTCACATTGAAGTGAACCTTGTTCAGCTCGATCACTGGGATCCTAACTGATGAAATACACACAACAATTGCTCCGAAATGATCCGCCAATCGGTCCTTACTCATTGTGCTAAGCGTTGCATATCGTGACCCTGCGCTTAAAAAAGCAAAGTTCCCAACTAAGATCCCTATACCCGCCGGGTTCTTTGCCTATTTTCTCTATCTGATGTGATCAAATAGGGTTGAAACGCGTCGTGGAGTACAACATTTTTGGGTGTGCAGCATCCTGTTCCCTTCTGCTTCATCAGTGACGGTCTTAGTGATCGAATTGACGAAGGTTCGCTTCAACGCGAATCACGGCCTACATTGAGATTTCGCGTCTCAATTCAGTCACATATCATGTACTTCAAAATACCCTCCAAGGAATCCTAATTCTTTTTGACAACTGATCGAACTAATCAAGTTGTATCCCGTCTGCGGATCTATCTTGTACTTGCAGTCATCCACATCCGATTCCCCTGCATTTACCAACTTGTCTTTATTCAGCCTTCTGGCCGATTACCATCGTTTGGTCAAGTTGAATCATGAATTAGAAGATCGGCTGTTGAGTACGGTAAGTTGAGTCGATTGGCATTTTTAGTAACTACAAACCATCTTATTTTTTATTTGAAACGCTACCATAACCCTTTGTCCCTCCTTTTTGTGACACAATAACTATGGGATGTCTCATTTCTAGCGAACACGTGCTGCTACTACTACTACTACTACTACTACTACTACTGCTGCTACTACTACTACTACTACTACTGCTGCTGCTTTAGCGCTCAACTCTTTTACTTTTGGTTTATGTCGCTGACCGTTTACCTGCATTCTCATCATTTGGCTTCACGGATAAACCCAACAGCTGAATGGAAACACTGAATCGCTTTACTGACTTCAGCTGTGTAACACGGCAACTACTTTGAATCAGCATGACTGCATTGTCCAATTAGTAGAGGCTGCTTTTTTGCTTAGCGATGCCAGCTAATCACATAAGTTGAACGCCTGCTCTCTAGCAGCAGCCATTATTCACATCAACCTTCATCATTTCCGGATGCATCAACTCCATCTTCCAACATGGGTTCAGCTCGACCAGTAAACCATGGTTATGTATATGAGAAATTAAACTGCCCTTCAAATCGTTCAAACCTGGGGGTACATCAGTTGCTGGTCTTTCTCCTTTTCACTTAGCTCGATGTGAGCTTCCTCAGCTCGAGCTTAGTGAAACTGTTCTCGACTCTTCACAATAGCACTGTTTTTCTCCCTGCACTAAAAGTTGATGACGACTGGATCCGTCTTTCTTGTTACCTTCTGTTTAATTGCCGCTGCAATAACAGATTGCTTATTCGGACGTCTCGAACTATAAAGATCCTTTGCCCGATTTATTGCAGGTCATCATTCTACTCATTTGTTTGGCCAGCAACTGCTTACACTTCTGCTTCTTAGACTACAGTTTAAAATTGTAGTGAAGTTGTTAGGATGTTGGGGGCTCCACCGTCGTTTAGATGGCGAACGACTTGCATTCACTAATTGACACGTGATCTGCGTTGTTGGTGCCAGCGCAGCCAGCCTGGGTGTAGTACGCTCGTTCCACTGTGGTTAATCCATATGTAACACGCGTTTCGTTCGATCAGTGCAACACGAAAGGTTGTGCTGCAAACTTGCGCTAGTTTTTAGCAAATTGCATATACGGACTTGAAAAGGGTTGGTCACTATTGCATTTTCAGAAATTGCCAACTACAGAACAGCTTCCTTATGTTATGAAGTTATGTCTTGAAATGGACATTATCTCATTCACATCACTTTATCACTCGAAAGAAAAACGATGTCTGTCGAGAACCTCGTCTTCAGTGGCTTCGAGCCTGCCGTCACTGGAAGCTCGTACTGAAGTTCATAAGGGCACCTTGTTTTCAACCGTCGTTCGTGAACTCTGATAAAGTATCCTCTTTGTTGCTGCTCACTAAATTCCGCTCACGGAGATCGCTTTAATGGAAATTCGCGGACGCAACAGCAGAAACGTGGATTTCAGCGGCAACTGTCGTCGATGAGCGAGGTGGACGGTCTAACTACAATCGCATTCGCCTCCGTTGCGTTATCTATAAAGATTTCTAGGACGCTCCAATGACAGCCAGACTGGTTTCCACTCTGATACGATTCTCTGGTTGTGGTTATGCCCTTCACTCGTCACCCGAGCATAACCACACATGTAAGCAGGTTTCTTTGATAGTCTTATAACTATTAATTTCCTTGGGTTTCAATCAGGTGCGCTCGTTTGTGGCGCTCTCTTCTCGTGGTTTTTACGTCATCTAACTTTCTCTTTCCTCCGACTCTTGAGATGCATTCGTGGCTACCTGAATCTGTGTCCTACCTTCACCACGACACTTGGACTGCAGCAGCATTACTGTGTATCTAAATTGAGGATCATGCGTGCCGGACGTGTACAGGGCAGTTTCTGAGCTATAGCCCGCTCCACGCCGGATTCATGGAACCACACATCGTGTCTACCACAGTCACGAGGACCGTGCGCCCCGTCCCCTCCAGCAACGAATAGCTGTCTTCTGGAATCAGTGTAATCTAGGCGCTGGGTAGTAGACACCTTGTCAACATTCACATCAAGCGCAGCCAAACTAGGCATATCAGGCAACAGCCAATACCTGAGATGTAAGAAACCAAACATGCATGCACACTTGCAGAACAAATGCAGCTGTGATCTAGCACACGTACCACATCGACCGCATTCTTGACTTGGGTTCGTAAATCTGATTAAGCCGGAAGCAGTCTACTTACCAAACGCTGAACTGACGATGATTACATTATTCATCTTTTGATGTCTTTTAGATGTTGATCCCGCGTGGACGCGCTGATGGCTTGTCAAGCTAGTTTGACTCGGTTCAGGTTTATACCATTGATCCGAGCACCGAAGTCCGATGGATCCAGTTGTCACGACTCACACCGTATGAATAACAATAAAAGACAACCGTAGGACAGTGGGTTTAGGCACGGATAGAATATAGACAAAATAGAAGCAAGAAGGAAATGCGTTGGACTAACCAGGATGGAGCGCAAATTAACAACCAGATGAAGGAAACCGTATGCAGGAACACCTCTTACTGCGTGACTGCGCCATGTTTGACACAGTCTCTAACCAATGGTGTAGACCTACCCGAGGCTTCCATCCAGAAAGACAGCACGCCCCAGATTGACCCAGTCTCAGTCAATTTCTTCATGTCTCTATGCCATGTCATGAACTGGAAACCTTTATGTCTCCCCAACTTGGTGCAGCCACGGAGTATAATGCACACCGAGGAAGCCGATCGATGGGCATAAGGAGAACATGGCCTAGCCAACGTGAGCGATTAAGGTTCACTAAACACTCGAGTGAGGAATCAGAGGGGTTCTTGCCAAAAACCAACTGGCAGATTTCAGCATTGCTCATCCGGTATTCCCACCAGACTTGAGCACTACTTCGCAAGCACCAGTAGTCAAACACGGCTAAAGGTTTCATGTTCTCGCCGCGAACTGGCCAGGTCTCTGATCCACACAGTAATACTGACGTTACCGCAGCCTTATAAATCCTACCTTTCACTGACAGGCTGATATCCCGCCGTCTTCATATTTGGTTGAGTCTCTGGAAAGCCACGTGAGCCTTACTGATACAAGAAGTAACTTACTCACCACCAGAGGTGACACAGCTTCCAAGGTAAGTAAAACGATCCACCACTTCCAATAGCTGTTCGGAAATAGCTAAAATCGGAGGTGTGTCGGCTCAGTCTTGCAACAGCACTTTGCATTTTGAAGATGCAAAGCACATGCAGAAGCGTGCAGCGATACGCACAACTCTATGCAATTGTGTTTGCACAGCCATTGCATCAGACCCAAGGAGAACTATGTCGTCCACGTACTCCAGGTTTATCTGTTAGTCGCATGGCAGAACTTCCACTCCGGTAGAGTCTAAAATAACCAAGTCATTCATGACCACTTTGATCACAAAGTTGAAGAGGAAAGGAGATATAAAATAACCCTGCCGAACCGCACTTGTAATGGGAAACTCAGGAGACCGTTTCTCGTAGACCCTTACACAGCCTCGGGGATCACGGTAGAGGGAATTCAGAATGGAAAGAAGTTTAACTGGAACGTTCTTCATAGATACACAGTGCTACAAGCTCTCTCGATCAACAGCGTCGAAGGCGGCCTTCAAAACAAGGAAAATCACCATAGTCGGTCATCTGTGTGTGTTTCTGCTTGGCTCAGACACTTGCGACCGCATGTGCTACAATGTTCGACGTCCATGGGCTATCTACTATCGGCGCCCGTCACTTCATTGACTGCCTTTTTTCCCGTATGCAGCAATGCTTTCTAATAAAACTGGTAAACCGCCCTCTTGATATGCTTTCGCTATGTGCACTGATCCACTATCATCGCTTCCCAACATCTAAAACCAACATTGGTTAGTGGCAAATTCATCTTGACCATGTCCTGGTAACGTAACCCGTTTTCCAATGTGCCGCTTCCAGGTATATATACAGTGGAACCTCCCAAGTTGACCACGTCTGTAGATTGACCGTTTTTATGCATTGAACGTTCACCACGTAAACCTTAAGGAATCAGACATCTGTATGTTGACCATCTCTGTAAGTTGTGCTGACCACTTGAGCCGTAACAGTCACTACTAATTTAACTTCTATAAGTCTACTGTGCAATGGTCGCCGGTCGTTTGTTCAAGCAACAAAGTGTGTGCATCAGGATTTTACAATGTGCGAAATTCTTCGGATCCACAACCACTGTACTTGACAGCTTCGCAGGTGTTGAACGATATCGCATATTATCTGTCTGTGTATATGCACACGTGCTTCTGACCACCCCACAGTGTTCACGCGCGTCGGTATTTACCTCGTACAATGTGTCTCCACGGCTCCGCATCCATAAGTGGACCTTGGTCATTTTTGTATGAGTTCTTTCCACAAACAAGCACGCATCAAGCCTACTTTGGAACGTGTGCCGACGCATTGCAGAGGCGGCAACCAGGACTTTGAGAGCTTGTCTAACCGTCGATTAACCGGTTATAATCCAACCCCCTCATTACCTGCTCATTAGCCTCTCGGATCGGAGTGACACACGTTGACGCCCACTGATAGTTAAACGCTGTTCCGCGCTATTTGTAGTCTGCCTGAGAGCGTAAACAATTAAGGTTTGCGGTATGTAATTGACTTTCTGTAAATAGCACATCAGATCCTAAATGCACTCCGTGCTTTGAACAAATCGGATCGGCTATTACTCCTATCGAAGCATTATGACCCAAAGGAAAGATCTCAAAAAGCTGACGCAACATTTTCTGGAAAGCAGCGGCTAAGAAATGACGGCAGAACAGTTTAGTGTTAGCAAGACAACAGTCCGAAACATACAACTGCATAAGCATGACTACTTGGAGAGACACGGTAATGAAAGAAAAGATGTACTGCGGAAGAGTCAGAAAATTTCACACAATGAAGTCTGTGGAGCTGCGCTACGATAGTTCAAACAAATGAGAGCTATTACTGCACGAATCTCCGGGCCGATGATACAAGAATTTGCCAAGAAATTTTCACAAGAATTTGAAGTTGCTGATTTTCAAGCATCCAGTGGTTGGCTAGTGAAAGTTAAACTAGCATATAACATGTGCCCAAAGGAATTTTTGTGTCAAATCTAATGAAGCTTCTGAAGAATGTTTGTGATTTTACTGAGAAATTTTCCGACTTCTGCAAGGATTTCAGCGATGGTGACATTTTTAACGCTGACGTGTGCGGTCTCTTTTACTAAGCGATGTCTGACAGGAGCCTTACTATAAAGGGTGACAAATGTAAGAACCATAAGCATTCCAAGTAACGTTTTACATTTATACTGTGCGCTAGCTCGATTGGGGAGAATCTAAAGTTTTTGTTCATTGGTAAGTCAGCTAGACCACGTCTTCATAAGTCTGAGTCCTAAAAGACTTCCAGTTACCTGGAGATCAAACAAATGTGAATAAGTTTCCATATTTGACGTGTGGATAAGAAAAAGCGACCAAGAAGTGCTGAAGTAGCGTTCCATTCTACTGACAGTGGATAATTGTCCCAGTCATATCCATTGCGTTAAAATTTCTGCCTCCATATATGACCACAAAAATACAATCTCTTGACCAAGGAATCAACAAAATATTCAAGACATTACCGAGCCTGGCTCATGCGGTGGGTTATAGCATAAACAAATCCCATTGATCTGCATGCAGGAAGAACTTCATCTACTCCTTCATTTAATGCTCTGGATGCTGTTTTGGATAAATTTAGCTTTGCACAAAGTTAAGCTCTCTCTCATGACCCTGTTCGTATGATCGGCATTCCATCTCATTACAGATTTTGAGGGAAGAAATTTTCCAGTTTGTTGACATATATACTGACTTGGCAATCTACAGTGAACTAGACCCAGATGCTATTTTCGGAAATTGGCTGCGGCCCACTCCTACGAGAACAAAAAAGAAGCGATTGGTGATGAAGAACGTCTAAGTGAGGATGACATGGGAATTACAGAATCCCCCAAAAAGACTGATCTCGGGTATTTTTTTATTGCAACTGAACGCATATGCTGTGAAAATATGTCCAAGTATGCTGAGTAGTGTAGCTTATGCTGAGAGCGCTTTTTCAGTTACCTTTGTGACAAGAAAGAAACAGACAAATATTGACTTTTTCTTCAAAAAATGTTCCAATTTGCGAAATACACAGTGCGCTTTGATTTATTATGACGCTGGTTGCACAGCATTTGCCGTTAGGTGCGACCTCGTCTAATGCGTTCGAAGCGGGTCTATGTGAAAATCAATTTAAAACTATGCTACTCACAGTGGGAAAGTAGGTTACGCTATTTTTGGCACAGATCCATCGTATGTAGACCACCGGTCCAGCAACAGAACCCGTAATAACACGACGCCTATCCCTGTTATCGCGATTAATGTATTAATTCGCTGCAAAGCGCTGCTGCAATTTCATACAAATTCAAGTGGCCTAATGAATATTTTGTGTCGTAAGCGAAAGGTTGATCAACAAATGCACCAATTAATTGTTTCCAACCCTCTGAACTCTTGCTTATCTTTCATTTAGTTGGAATGTCCTTTAAATAGTTCTTGCATATGCTAAAGGATATTCGGCCGCATATCTTCTGTCACCGCACCCGATTATCTTTTGAAACCAAATCTGTTTCGTCAGTTTCTTTCCCTTTCCGCCAACCGTTTGTATCCCAGTGTATTATTTTTCCAATGCACGACAAATCGGGTGGGACATTAGTGTCTAATCGTTTCAGACATACCACGGGATTTTGTTGGACCCTTGCACTCTGTTGCTTCAACACTTAGATACTATGTTTTTCATCGCCAGGTCACTAAGTCATAAACTTCTTTTCACTTATTCCCTCTCGGTCTGTGGCCGATTGGTCTAATGGCATATGCTTTTTGATCCAGTAGCTCCCACTTGGAATCTGCATAGGTGCAGGCGACCCCGTTGTATTTCTGGTCGCTGCGAGACTGGTACGTCGTACCGACGCCTTCCTTTATCGAGTTGTTACAGTTTGTCGTTAGCTTTTTGATTTCACTGCATTGTTTATTTTTATGTCTTGCCGTTCCCATTCTTCTAGTATTCTTATCTTCCTCGCAGGCTAGTCATTTCCTTTTGACCAACCATTTAACGGTTAACGTATCCTAGTCATCAAAATGAACGCCTTGGCGTAACTCCGAAACCATAGATTTCTCGTACCATAACTCAAAATCAGTAAGCACAATGAATGTATTTGTTGACATTCGGACCAGAGACAATTGTCCGTGACTAGTCGCTATCCAACTTTCCCGTGCACCTTTTTAGAACATGGCATCACATCCATCCACACTAGTTGGGGTGGGCTAGTATCAGTTGACAGTCCATCTAGTGGATTTTAAGCGGTTCTCCGAGCTGAGTGATTATTGTGCAGACGTTTCGTTGCCTGACTAGGCAACATCATCAGTGCGATTGGAAACAACAGTCTACCGAAAATCTACGCATACAGACCAGATCCTCAACTACGGCAGCAATCATCCGGCAGCCCACAAACGCAGCTGCGTGCAAACCCTTTTCAAACGAGCACAAACCCACTGTAGCACACTGCAGCTGAGACGGGCAGAGGAAGATCATCTCTTCAACCTGTTCAAGCGGAACTCGTACCCAAAAGGCTTCATTCTACGCTGCCTCGCATCACAAAAGGTTACTCAACACACCTCGACAAATGTACCAGCTGAAAAAAGAACAACACTTCCCTATATCAACGGTATTCCTGAAATGGCAGCGAGACTTTTATTGCCTTCTGGAGTCAAAGTTGCACATCAGCCAACGGAAACCATTCGCAGTAAACTCTTCAAGATGAAAGATAAACTTAGCAAAGAAGAAGAAACTGGTGTGATTTATAAGATCTGCTGTCGGAACTGTGACAAGTACTACGTGGGACAGACTGGGAGAACGCTTGGCACAAGGCTACACGAACACATCCTAGCCATACGTCGCCACGATCAGAACTTCCTGATGTCAGGGCACATGGATGCTGAGAACCATCAATTCGCCATAGAGCATACCAGTATCCTTGGAAGGCCCAAAAGCCGGCAAGCACGTGAGTTCATTGAAGCCTGGCATTCAAAGCAGGACTCGATCAATAAGCACTTGGACATTGAAGTCGCTTACGAGGCACTGCGAACCAGGCCCCTGAAACCGCACTGATGTGGTTGCCTAGTCAGGCAACGAAACGTCTGCACAATAATCACTCACCTCGGAGAACCGCTGAAAATCCGCATCCACACCCCGAGCTACGCATATTCTCATTTATTTCAGTCCATCTAGTATATTCCATATCATTTCATGCTATGTTATGAACCGGAACTTTATGTTTTGTGGACCTTCTACGTCATCTATTAGTGTGGATGGTGGTATCGCTGTGAGTCCTTCGCCTAGTGTGCCCAGGTAAATTTCCCATCAGTTTGAATCGGTAGATGTATTGGCGATAACGTCACCGATAGATGCAACAGAGTCTCCGAAAGGCCATTCTGAATTCCGGGTTGTATTCGAAATTTCCCACCTGTAACTATTGGCTCAGCCTTCTCAGTCACAATGATGACTCCAATTTGACATTGGAAATGTGGTTCTCATAACAATGCAAGCTACGCTGAGATCATGCACTTACTGTCTCGTTTGGAACTACCAGAATCCGGTGACATGCTGGTACTGTTAAGTACCTTCAATGACAATAGTAGTTTTTCCAAATCGCACTTCAATTTAGGGAGGATTGTTCAACCAAAAGCAAGCCCTAGAAACCACGGAACACTAAATGTGCCTTTTCTCTGCCACTAGCATGCCGTGATTACTGTTTTTACGCTAGAGTAATAGAATTGATGGTCACTTAACATTATATCCAGTTGAGTATTTTCGCAAGCCGACGGCTTTTGTTCAACTTCTACAGTGGACTATTATGGGGATAATTTATAGCTTTGTGTATTGATCGTCCCGCTTTGAAGGGCTTTGGTGACTCCTGGAAATGTCACCCAGTGTTTCCCAGTAGGTCATGAAAGCGTTTCTGATGGTCTCTTAGTGATAACATTTAACTAGCATCCCTTTTCCAGAGGGCGTCAATTCTTTGGTTTATGAACCGATGACTCAGTCTACCTCGCAACACTTGTATTGTTCTGCTACAACATTCCGCTTTGCATTCCTTACTCGATGGCCTATGATCTACTTTTCCATCTTTTTAAAGTACTCCGCGTCGAGCTAACGAACATATCTGCAGCTTTGTGCCGCTTTACGCTTATAAGTGCAGCGCTAATCGCTTCTCATGTCCTGTACCGAGTACTATTACTTTGAACGTTTGCATGTTAAAACATTGTCATTGGTCCATTTCGGTTAATATTTCAGCTTGAAACTGTAACCTTGGAAACCACGATGCTTTCGAAAGAACTTGAAAGCACAACTCACCAACTGAAGAATTGTGAAAACGAACTATCAGCTGTTGTCGCCGAACGAGTGAGTGAAAAGTCATCAGTGGTCCGACAACTGAACCATCCGGTCTTAATGTGCCCACGCTGTGATGTTCTCTGCCATCTTATCCCTGCACCTGATAGCATGTTGTCGGCTCCTGTATCTAATATTTGTTTTTGTTTACAGTATTTTCAATGTTATAGTGTCCGCAAATCTTTTGACCTCAATAGGCCTGATGATCCATCAGCCCGCTTACGAAGTCTGGTGCTGGTCAAAACCGTAACCTCCGCTCATTGCTGTTATTGAGAAATGGCTAAGAGATAGAGGTTTCGACGGATATTCCAAATGGTCCGGGCTTGTCGTCGCAGTCTTGTTATCTCTACCTGAAGGGTACAACCGAGGATACGAAATCGGCTGGAGAGTGCGCAGTGCTGCGGACCGGCGAGCGAACGACACCAAAAACAACCAAAGATTAATTGTTTTTGCATGTTGCTTTGCGTCCGAAATACCTCGTTTTATGGGGTCGCCAAATAATTCATTGTTGGTTTTCTTCAGTTGGCTTTTGCCACCAACTTACTGCTTTGTCATTGGCCTCATGACATTCACGGGGCGCGTGTAAATCAGATTACTATGCATCTTATGATGCATTTTCCGCTGATTGGCTTTCTTCAATAAACCATTTGTCTCTGAAGGACCCGCTTTTGCAACGTGTCTTTTGATCTCCCACTCGGATGCCGTCCTGTGGCCTTAAGGATCACAAATCTGCCTTGTAATCCGAAGGTCACAGGTTCGGATCTGCGTAGGGACCGGGCGACCCTCGCGGTATTCTCAGCCCACGCGTGACTTGTGCTGGTTGGTGCGCAACAAAGTCTCGGTACTGCGTACCGGTGTAATGCTGATGCTTTTCCCGCTGGTATGCTAATTGCCATCTGCACTTGGTTAAGCGAAACTTCAAGCGCCTGCATAGCGACATAAGTAACTGACGTAAAGAATTTGGTCTGTATAAATGGGGTTTCTAAGCGCCTGTCACTGAAATTGCAGTTTTGTGCCACTCCTTATTATTTCGTCCCTTTGTGATCAAATCGAAGTTAATTCCCAGGTGTCTATCCACCACATTTGTTCATCATTTGTATGCCGTTTAAACATCTTGCGGTACTCTTTTTCATAAAAGTTTAGATTCACTTGCTCCCGATCTGTGGAGAATTGCGCTTTTCAACTGATTCTCCTTGGCTATACGTCCAGATTACGTCATTTACATAAAATATATCTTCCTCATTTTCTATGGAGGGCACTATCCGACAGGACTCCTTACTATCCATCACTCGTTGCTTGCATCAGTGTTGAGAATCTGCTCCTCTCCGTACACTTGTGAGCGCTTTAGCTGGTTGTGTTCTTCTCCTTTTAACTGTTCTTGCTCTTTGGGAAAATGAATGAACGGAAGTTCATCCCATCGTATATATATATATATATATATATATATATATATATATATATATATATATATATATATATGGGTGGCGGCATCCGGTTTCGGATTTGCCTGTCACTGTGGCAAGCCAAAGGACGCCTGCGCCTACAGAGGGACCATGGATGGCTTGCACTGCACCACCCACAGCTCCAAACACACACCCCATATCCAGTGTAAACCCGAAGAAATAAGACCGGGAGGCATGCGGATTGGAGCCACATTTCATCAACGGAGCCGGCACACACTCCTTCACAGGCAAACACAAGCACGCTGTATTTGGGGAATCAACCGCACAAAAGGCGGTGGCTGGACCGTAGTCCGCTCCACACTGAGTGCATGGAACCACTCTTCGAGCCTAGCACGGCCACAAGGACCGTGTACTCTGTCCCCTCCAGCAACGATCAACTGTGTATATATGGGCCACGGTGAGCTCATTCCGAACCAATGTTGATTACAAGTGTTGAGAAACAAACGGCGTTGATCGGCGCAAATGGCCAGGGTTTACTAAGAGGGTGTTGCTCGGGTGTTGGAGAGTTTACTATTGCTTGAGGCAGAGAAACGTTGGTTGTGGAAGGGACAGGCGCCGATAGAGTCTAACCCATTGATGTCAAGCACATGATGCTGTAGCTCATACGGTCATAAATGTCTCATCTAAGGCGGCCCTGGCGACCACGAGGGTTTAACTTCTGAGAGAAGCTGAGTTTGCCAGCACTTGGTTAGTACGCTGCTTCCGATTTAATAAGACGGTTGATGTAGTACGCATGTTACATCATCACTGCAACTGGCCTCTTCATGTGCTTGCGTGTTGAGTTTCTTGCATTTCAGTTATTGATCGATATCACAGCCGTGATTGCGCTTGTTGTAATGTTGCCAAGATGTCTGTCTGTCTAATGCACTGTACATCGATTACTGGCTCCAAGAGACTACTTACTTTTGTTGGGCGGACAAGTTGCACTGTCCGCTTGACCGTATTAGGCCCAAACTGTGCTTCCGTGCATCCAGTGTGCAACAGTCTACGACCAAACCGCTGCCTTGTGCAGCGTCTGGTACGCATACCTCTTAACTTATATAGACAGGAGTGCTGCTGTGCATATTGACGGAGTGTGGGCCGGCTCTGTGGCTCCCATTCACATGCATCCCGGCCTTATTTCTTGGGACTTCCACTGTATATGATGTGTGCGGATAGAACTGTGGGTGGTGCAGCACAAGCCACCCATAGTTCCTCCTTAGGCTGACGCGTCCTGTAGTTGTTCTGTGGTGGCCCTAGTGACAAGCTAATCCGGAACCGGATGCCACTGGCCATATCTACTGAACACCACCAACAGTACAATTGGTAGACTGTCACAACATTTGAATAAATGGAATACAGCGCCAATGAAGGGAAAGAGAAAAGAGTGTAAAACTGTAGTTACGGGGTAGTCCCACGACATGTTCGCCATTGTGCACGATTCCTTGTGCTGCTGGTCCCCCCCCCCAACCAGAGAGGCTACAACTTGGAAGAGGTAACTTTGCCACTTTTATTAGCACATATGGTTTCACTGTGTTATCCTGAGAATACGAGGGATCAGTTTTACCCTCATTTGTGATCCGTGTTACGATCTGTACTGAGGAGCGACCGGCCGTTCTAACTTGGTGATTTCGACGCGCGCCTTGGGTGTGATATCGCAATGGGGTCAGACGCAATCGGGCTGTATGGTATTTGCTCAGCCATTGGGAACGCTGACCGGCTGCTCTCACTGTGTGCCACTCATGACCTGACGATCACGAACACACAGTTTGCACTGAGTACAAGTGAAAGAACCACACCTGGATGCACCGACGGACTGGTCACGCTCACCTTCTCGTCTGTGTCATCCTACGCCAGCGTAACATGTGTGGCGTGCGCATGACATGTGTACTGCGTGGCGCTGATTGTTGCACTGATCACAGTTTTTTGTGCAGACCAAATTGTGTATATATTTTAGTACATCTATGTATTGCTCACCTGTCGTGAACCTGCAGAAATTTAATGTTCCTTCCCTAGATACCATTGAAACGAGGATGGAACTGGTGAAGGCGATGGCTATCCCCTTTGGGGATGTCGATTGCATCGCCTCAATCGCTGACCTGTGGCACCAAATTTGTGAACATTTGACGTCTGCGGCCGAGGCAACGATCGGGCACGCAAACTGTAAGCGGCCCGATTGGTTTAATGACAACAATGGGGCCATTGGCGCATTAGTGTCGAAGAACTATGCAGCATTCGCTGTCATGTGGAGGACCCTGCCGACTGCGAATAGAGTTGATTTCGCAAACCTCGACGGCGGCTGACTCTAGGGCTCCGTCTCTTAAGAATGCCTTATGAACAGACCAGATGGAATGCTGCGGCGAGCGCCGGCAACCCCAAGAAATTCTTTGACTATTTGCAGGCGGTGTGTCGACCCACCTTTGCAGTCGTTGAGGACGCTGGTGTATGTTACTACATGCGCTGCCTGCACACAGGCTGCAGACACAATGTAGATATGGCGGACGCAATTTGACTTTCTATTGTACAACCGCTCAGAGACTGACTGGGCTACGTTGCACGGGATGCAATCACAAGAGGTGGAGACGTGTCTTGTCGACACACCAACACTGGATGTGACGCAGAGAGCACCTGCCCATCTACGAAAAGGCAACGGCTCTGGGGCCCACAGGATACCGCCAGACGTGTTGAAACACGGCGGATCCGCGTTGGTAAATGCGCTGCACCACTTAGTGCAACACGTGTCATTTGCAGGTGCCGGCTGACTTGAAGGATGCCTTTGTGTTACCACTGTACAAGCGCAGAGGAAGCAAGAAATGTGCCATGAATTATCGGGGCATTAACTTGCTGTGTTGTGTTGGCACTATTCTTGCTGAATGGCTGTCAGTCAAGTCATTGAGCCGCACGTGGAGGAAGAGCAATACAGATTCTGTTCCCGCCGCAACAACATAAATATGATGTCCACGTCTCGTCAGTTGCAGAAGAAATGCCGAGATCGACACCAACCATTCTACTTGCTGTTCGTATACTTCGCTAAGGTATTTGGCACAATGAACCGCGGGGCACTGTGGATGGTGTTGGGTAAGTTTGAGTGCTCGAGTAAGTTTGTAAATCTAATTGAATGTCTGCACAATGTTATGCGGACGAGGGTGCAGCTGAGTGGACAAATCTCGAATGACTTTACTATTGTCTCTGGTGTGAAGCATGGCTGTGTCTTAGCCCCTACCCACGCCACCACAGTCCATTTCCCTCTTTCCTTGTGATTTGAGAGCGTGGTGAATACAGTCAGTCTCCGATTTCCCGCAGTATCTTAGCTCATGCTTCTCCGCATGATTCCCCTTCTGGGTTCTCTCGATGGACTTAAAGCTTGGCTCTTTATTTGCCACCCAAGGATGGTCTGACTGACAGTAGCAATAGCATTATTGATAGGTATATTTATCATCTTGCGAGGAGCTGTTTTCACCATTTGCACAAATCCTACCGATTCAGCTAGTACCATGCTCTTGCATGAATAATACACGGTTGCGTGATTGGCTTTGTTTGTGTGTGTTGATGGTAACGTATCTAAAGCAC